CCAAAAAAAAAAAAAAACAGAGAAAGCCAGAGACAAGCAGAAATTTAAACACTGGAAACCGAAGATCCAAAATGTCTCAGCCAAGAACCACAGGGAAATGACAAAGTCATTTCTGCTTTTAGATCCCAAAGATAAAGACGGTTTTCTGTCTCAAAAGATTCCCTGAGGAGCATTTGGAAGAGCAGGCTGTGTGGGTTCCCTGTTTGTAATTAAATTTAACCTAATTTCTTAAATTTAATTCTCATTTTGGTTTTTTTTAAGATGTAAACAATGCAGAGTATAGTCTTTGTAATTACTGCAAGCCACAAAGCTGTGCTACTTGAAATAAAACAAAGAAAGAAAATTCTTCACAAATAATCATTATGTCTACTGGCAAGAATAAAGAAAACCTAGCACTTTTATAACACATTTCATGATCAAATTGATGCAAAAGTTAAATTGGTCAGCTTCAGAATCTGCTCTGTCTATATCTCCTGTGGCTACCAAAGTAGACAATATGAATACTCTAAGAAACTTAAAAAAAAATTTTTAAACAGCTAAAAACTTATTTTCTGTCTTTTTCTTTGTGTGCATGCCCACGTGCACACATGCGTGCACATTTGAACAAATGTTTTTTTTCTGTTGTTGTTCAGTTGCTCAGTCGTGTCTGACTCATTGGGAACCCCATGGACTGCAGCATGCTAGGCTTCCTTGTCCTTCACCATCTCCTGGAGCTTGCTCAAACTCATGTCCATTGAGTTGGTGATGCCATCCAACCATCTAGTCCTCTTTCATCTCCTTTTCCTCTTGCCCTCAATCTTTCCCAGAATCAGAGTCTTTTCCAATGAGTCAGCTGTTCACATCAGGTAGCCAAAGGACTGGAGCATCAGAGCTTCAGCATCAGTCCTTACAATGAATATTCAGGGTTGATTTCCTTTAGGATTGAATGGTTTGATCTCCTTGCTGTTCAAGGACTCTCAAGAGTCTTCTCCAGCACCACAGTTTGAAAGCAACAATTCTCTAGCCTTATCCTTCTTTATGGTCCAACTCTCACATCTAATATTTTTTTAGAAGAATCCTAATGTAGAACCACAAAAATATCAGTTTTGAGAGGGCTTTTAAAAGGTTAAGTTTTAATGTGTCTCTCTTTCTGTAACTTATTGGTTGGCCTTAAACAAGCCACTGAGATTTTGCCTCAGTCATTTTTTCAAATGTGGGTAGTACTATTAGTTCCTCCCTAAATAGCTTTCACCCTAAATTCACAACAAGAGAACCTCCTTGCATTGTATAGTTGTATTGTTTATATCCAAAAGTAAGACTACCAGCATCTTAAAGGGGCCAGGGGAATGTCTCTAAGAGATAATTAGAGCAAGTTAGATTACACCTTTACTTCAAGAATGTCTTATTAGAAAATGATAAGATGTTTCCAATGTCTCATTAGAAAATGGCATGGGCCATCCTTTGCACATCAGTCTAAGTCCATCATCACTGCTGTAAATGGAAAAGCAGAAGTTTTGCTGATAGTGGATCAGCATGCCATCTGTATACATGAAAATTTATCAGTAATATTAGATTTTTTTAATTAAAAAATATACTTTTGAATTAGCAACATGTTCACATAGTTAAATAGGCTTCCCTGGTGGCTCAGATGGTAAAGCATCTGCCTGCAAAGTGGGAGACCCGGGTTTGGTCCCTGGGTCGGGAAGATCCCCTGGAGAAGGAAATGGCAACCCACTCTAGTACTCTTGCCTAGAAAATCCCATGGATGGAGGAGCCTGGCAGGCTACAGTCTATGGGGTTGCAAAGACTCAGACACGACTGAGCAGCTTTACTCACAGAGTTAAAAATTCAAAAAGGCATATGAGGCAAATATTCTGTCTTTCCTCTGTATCTCAGGTTTTCTCCTCAGAGGTAAAACTCTTAACAGGTCTTATTTATCCTTTTAAAGATGTTGTATGCACATGTCACTGAAAATTTATATGTACATGTGTTTTCTTCAAAAAATAAAAAAAGTAGCCTACTAGACATAGTATTGTTTATTTTTCATTTTTTAGTGAAAAAATATATCTTGGCCATCATTCCTTATTTTTCCAGCTGTATAATATTCCACTGTATCAATGTGCCATAATTTACCAGTTCCCTATTATTTTCAATCACAGGCAGAGCTACAATGAGTAATTTTAAACATAAGGTTACCATTAGTTTTCAAGAGTCTTTGGAAATATGGCCAAGATATAGAAGAAAGCTTTGAATTTTATTGTACACAAATATAGGAAATTTAACAACTGAAAGATTCTGAAAAAAATTTTTTTTTAAGTTTCTTAGAGTATTCATATTGTCTAAATTGGTAGCCACAGGAGATATAGATAGAGTAATTCTGAAACTAACCAATTTAACTTTTGCATCAATTTGATCAAATCTTTATTCAGAATGATCTGTTTATCTACTAACTGTCAGAGAGTGTGCTAGAGACAAAAATAGAGGTTAAAAATATAAACATATTGTGAAAGAGCAAGTAGCCCAGGTGAGAGGGGGGAAATATCTAGGTGGAAGAGCTGACATCTGAGCTGAGCTTTGAAATATGAAGAAGAGATTTCAGAAAAAGAAGGGGAAGGAACATTACATGCAGAGAGGCAGTGTGCATAGGTGTCGGAACAGGGATCAGGTGTGTATGGCTAACAGGAGTGTTCATGGCAGAAAACACAGGCTGAACTAGCGGGAACTAGTTTGGGAAGGGCGTGTATACCATACTAGAGGGCTTGGACTTATAAATGTAGACTAAAAAGACTATATGCAGACTACACAGAAAAATAAAGGTTCCAAAAAGTTCCAAAAAGATAATCTAAGGGAACAAAATAAGATTTGTGAAGAAAGGTAAAAGGCCAGAGGTTGATGGCTAATAAACACATGAAAAGATGTTCAACATTGCTCATTATTTGTGTGCTCAGTTGCGTCTGATTCTTTGAGACTCCATGGACTGCAACCCACCAGGCTCCTCTGTCCATGGAATTTTCCTGGCAGGAATACTGGGGTGGGTTGCCAGTTCCTATTCCAGGGGATCTTCCTGGCCCAGGGGTCAAACCCACATCTCTTTGTCTCCTGCATTTTCAGGCAGGTTCTTTACCACTAGCACCACCTGGGAAGGTATTCACTCATTATTAGAGAAATGCAAACAAAAACTATAATGAGGCATCATCTCACACCAGTACCAGTCAGAATGGTCATTATCAAAAAGTCTACAAACTATAAATGCTAGAGAGGGTATGGAAAAAAGAGAACCCTCTTGCACTGTTGGTGAGAATGCAAACTGCTACAGCCACTATGGAGAACAGTATGCAGATTCCTTTATAAACTACGAATAAAGCTACCATACAACCCAGCAATCCTACTACTGGGCATATACCCTGAGGAAACCAGAACTGAAAAGGATATACGTAGCCCAATGTTCACTGCGACACTATTTACAATAGCTATGACATGGAAGCAATCGAGATGTCCATCAACAGATGAACGGATAAGAAAGTTATGGTACATATACACAATGGAATATTACTCAGCTATATAAAGGAACACATTTGAGTCAGTTAATGAGATGGCTGAACCTAGAGCCTATTACACAGAGTGAAGTAAGTCAGAAAGAGAAAGACAAATGTCATATGCTAATACCTATATGTGGAATTTAGAAAAACAGTGCTGACAATCCTACTGGCAGGGCAGCAAAGGAGACACAGACATTTGGACACAGAGGGGAAAGGAGAGGGTTGGATTATATGAGCGAACGGCATTGAAACCTACACATCACAATATGTAAAACAGACAGCCAGTGGGAACTTGCTGTATGGTACAGGGAACCCAAACCCAGTGCTCTGTGATAATCCAGAGGGGTGGGACGGGGAAGGGTAGAGGGGGGCTTCTAGAGGGAGGGGACATTTGTACACCTAATGCTGATTTATGTTGACGTCTGGTAAAAACCATCACAATATTGTAAAGTAATTATCCTCTAATTAAAAAAAATAAAATATATATTTAAAAAGGCCAGAGGTTATTTAATTCAATAGAACTCAAGTCCAGGAAGGCACTAAACAAAGATTGATAGTGGCAGCTATATTCCATCTCCACTGAAGGCAGAAACAATGATTAAGTATTCAGCTCTGGGTTTCCTTGGTGGCTGAATCAGCAAAGAATCTCCCCGCCAAGCTGGAGGCACAGGCTCAATCCCTAGGTCAGGACGACCCCTGGAGAAGGGAATGGCAACCCACTCCAGTATTCTTGCCTGGGAAATCCCACAGGAGCCCCCAGTCCACCAGGGGGTTGCAAAGAGTTGGACGCAACAGCAACTAAACAGAAGCATCAGTGAATGGAATAAATATGGTCAAAGCAAACAAATTCAAAAAACTAAACATTACTTACTTCGAATAATCAGGGCAAGGTATGTCTAAATCACAAAATGCTTTTAAAGAAATCGATGCCATTACTTTCTAATGTACGCACTGATGTTAAAGGCTGACCAAGGGTACCCAATAGGGTATCAACTTTACCACTGTGGAATGAGTATTGCTTATGGGCAACCTCCTTTCCTAAAATAAGTCAGGAAATTAAACTGCAAACTGTGAGTTATAAACTTAACTATTCATTAAAAAGAGCAATAACACTTTTAAGCAGAGTCCCAGAACTTAAGTACAGCAAAAATGACCACAAATGTCCAAATTTTCAGAGCTTAATTTAGCATGTTTTCACCACAAATGAAATATCAACTGTATGATATTTTTAGGGAAAGAACAATAACTAGTAAGTAGGATGAACGGTGACCCTTAATGGCAAATCAGTGAATTTTTGTGTAAAACTTTAAACTGTTAACTGATCAGATATGAAGGAAAGGAGCACCTGGTTGATGGAATCAGGTTGAGAATCCCATTGAGTAACTAGTAAGTAGAATGAACGGTGACCCTTAATGGCAAATCAGTGAATTTTTGTGTAAAACTTTAAACTGTTAACTGATCAGATATGAAGGAAAGGAGCACCTGGTTGATGGAATCAGGTTGAGAATCCCATTGAGAACATAGCTGAACTCCGCGTGATCCTGAGCAACAAGGGCCACCAGACCCTCACAGCAAGCTGTCCGAACTACGACATTGTCGCTGCAACACTTCTCCCATAGCAAGTTCAAGGCAGGAGTCTGAAATCAAACCAGAGATTAAAACACATGTCTGATGACTAGCAAATGCATACACAGACCTAGCCGTTCATCAAAGTGTAATTCGTTCACCATAGGCTGGCTTTCCTCTACAAAATGATGCTGTGCCATACCATGTGTAGGATACACTGAAGCTGGTTTTCCAAGAGAGGCAGTGGATGTGTTCTGATATAGTAACTCTCTCTCCTCTGGTGTCTTTGCAGGAAACTAAGGCTGGCTGCAGACGTTCTGAGTCTAAGCAATGCAGCTACCAGGAGATCAAAACTATGGCTTGGTTCTAGCACTATGTTCTAACCAAGCCATTTAACCAGACACCAACCATACCAGCATATCAATTAGTCTAAGTTGGACTTCAAATCATACTTATGCTTTAAGCCCTGAACATTTTCAGAAAATGTTCCTGCTCTCCTCCCACCAACCTCTATTTAAATCGTCAACTGGTCAAACATGGAGGAAAGAGCACCTGATTGATGCCCCTCCACTGTCCCTTACAGGGTCCCTGCTCCAAGTGATTGAAGCTGAATGTGAACCAGAGGAAGGAGACAGAAGTAACTCAGGCTACAAGCAAGCTGCTGGTTCCAGGACTACCAAAAAAAAGCCTAGAAAAACTTTTTTACCCAAGGAAGAGACTTTGACTTCTCCCTTCACATTGTGAACCTGTCATCTTTGATAGGAAAGCATCAGAAAGACACAAAAGTAAATAGTTCTTCATTTTGAAAATTCCTACCAAAGCAGAGGTTCTAGCTCTCATAACGTGCTCAGGAACTTATGATTCTCCTCAAAAAAAAAAAAAAAAATGTTCACTACTAATGATGAACCTCTGAATGTATTCTGGGGTAAGTCCATTTAGATTTTACATAGGGTTTTGGTTATTTATTTATTTATTTTTTTTTTTTAAAGAACACAATGAAGCTATTTTTCCTTCCTTCTGACATAATTTACTAGGGAAACATAAAATCTGGAGAGAAAAAACAATTAGAATCCCCAGCTCCCATGGAATAACTAAACCAATGAAAATCAACATAAATTGTGCCCACTTTCCCATGGTAGCTGACTCTGAGAGCCTTTTTAATCTTAGGATTCCACTAACTAACGATACAGAACAAGATAATTAACAGTCACTGAAGGGAAGAAATATTTATATTGCATTTCTTTTATTCCGAAGGAAATTTTATTCACCTGTGTGGACCATACCAAAGGGTTCTAAATGTCATTACTCCACTCCTATGCCAGAATAACAAAATAAATGAAAAAAACTGTTGCCTCAGGTAACATTGCACCTTCATGGAAGGAAGTACTCATTTATTAGCAGAAGAGGAAACATTAGTTACAGGGATTTGACATTCAATAAATTCTGGCAGTTTAAGTAAAACCACTAGATCTTCTCAGAGTACATAACGTGATTACAGGCAGGATTAAGATCAGAGTTCTCAGAAAACCTAATTTATATGACTACATACAAACACCAGATAAATGCCAATTAGTGAAGCATGCCTCTACATTGACTTCAATGTGTCAGCAGAAGCAATAAAGAAATGTAACTTGGAGTAGCTAATATAAAGGAAAATGAGAGAAAGGAAATCAATTTATTTGTATGAAAAAAATCTTATTTCCATCACCTATATTCTCCATAGAGTTTACCTTAGAGGCCCAACTTAAGCAGAGTTTCCAGTCAGCATGTCAAGCTACATAGCACTGGTCAACCAAAACCCAAGTGGTAAATAGGTCAGTAAATAGGTCAGCATTGGCATTCACCAACTCCATGAATGATACAGAATTTTTTCCCCCAGTTCTACCTGTCAAGGCATGACCTTTCTAACTTAGAACTCGTGTTTTGGGCTACATAAAGCCTGAGAAATCTCCAGCACCCAAACAGAGCCATTGTGTTCACTTTCTCCATTAAACAGATTCCCTCAGCAGTAACTCTCTCAGCCTTCTAAACGCTGCCCACCCTCATTCCACCCATGTTATTTTTCATTAATAGTCATAAGAATACTCCCCTTCACCCCTTCCCTATCTAGTTCCTGGGGTCTGTTGCAACACTCTTCAAAGTTTAAAAGAAAATCATGACAAACAAAGAAACAAAAATAGATAAAACCATTTCTACAGTGACCTGAAGTGTGAGGAAAACAAAAAAAGTGCAAAGGTGGTCCAGTTACCAGCAATATCTGAATAGAACTAAGCACAAAGTTAAAGACAGACCTGGTTTGTGCACTGGTGGATCTTTTCTGAAAAGCTGTTTTCCTTTAGAACTGCAGCAATAAGATGACCCACAGCCTAAAACAAACAAGATTAATGAATACATTTCCTCAGAAGTTCTCTCTCAATAGTGAATTTGAAGGTAACTAACAGCAGTACTCGTGGATATGAGTATACCAGTCAATCAGTAATAACACTCCCATTCAGAGGGTATGTGCTCTGAAGAAGGCACTATATTTGGCACTCCACAAATGGAATCTCTCATCTTCATAACAACCCTCAAGGTAAGCATTTTTATCCTACATTTTATCCCAGTAAGCAAACTACAGTTCACAGATGTTGAGAAAATTGCTGAATTTTCGGTTTAAATTGTTGTCACTCAGTATTACAAGATAATTTGAGATTGCTTAATCCATTAAACCACGAGACAAATGAGTAAACTCCACAGCTTTTAAAATCATCTTTGCAACTAAATGAAACACATCATGCTTCATCATGCCCTTAATGAAGATAGAGAAAACTCATCACTATCTTCATGACTATGGCCCACACAGATTTGAACCAACAGGTCCTCCCCCACCTCAAACATTCTCCCTCCTCTAGGATCTAGGATGTAATATCCTTGTTGGTTTCTCATAGGTTTCAGCTCCTTAATAAGCTTTCAGTCTCATAAATCTCTAAAAATTTTCCATATCTTCTTTGGTCAAAAAACTCAGAATTAAAACTAAGATTCTCATAGGAGTGCTGATTGATTCCATAAATATATAAATGTTGTTACTTCCTATCATCTCAACTCCATTCTCCTAGATCGCCAGCACCATCCAGCATTGCTGTCTTAGAACCACAGACTAGCAACAACGACAGCCATTCTAGGTATGGGTTGGGAAAAACTTTGCTATGGCAAGAACTATTCAGTCTGCCCTTGCGACCAGTGTCTGATATGGATGTATAAACACCCATCAGTCTTGCAAAGTCTCCAGAAAAGCTCAAACAAAAGCACAGCACCTGCTCCTTCATTTCTTTTTGCATTTCACACACTGGAATTGAATTCAGACCTCAATGATCAACGGTCTTTACAAGTCACTCATTTACATGAAATTTAAGTTTAGATCAATGAACTCTTACCTCCTTGTTAAAGAGATAGTAACAAAAATTGAGGACCAATGAACAGCTTCAGTTCGTGTTTACAAAATAACCATATTTCACTGAATGTAAATGGCCATTAAATGCAAGATGCACCATTATTTTACAAACCACTGAGAGAAAAAAGGCTGCCAATTAATACAACGCTGCTTATAATTTAAGTTTTTTATTTTTATGTTAATGAAAGAGCTCTTTCAGACTCTTAGAAAATCATGGCCAAATGCATAAATATGCAGGCAATATCAACTGTATAATGACTGCTGCCATCAATTACTAAATGCAGATGTTAAAATGTGAAAAAAAAATGTGTGAATCAATGAAATATGGTGCTAACACTGAGCGGTGGTTACAAAAGAACAATAAGAAGTATTCATAGAGGACAGGGAACAATTGCAAGAATCTAATAAAACCAATAGGAAACACAACATGGACAAAAAAAGTTACCATTCATATTTAGAAAAAGGACTAACAGAAAATAAGCTTAATGATAAATATCCCCCACTGCCCACCAAATTCAATTTCTCTAATTTACCTTCCAATTTATCCCTCTAACAAATGAGAGACTATAGCCTAAATTGATTTTCAAATACAAAATTCAAGTATAAATCAGCCTATGCTGCTATGTAAGTTTTCCATAACAAAAAGTAGCTTAAATGGATACTGCACACTAAACAATACATATACACTTTTCTCTTAATTTAACAGCAACACATATAGGCATTTCTTGATTTATATATGCTAATGAAGGGACTCCAGGCACAGAAAAATAGAAACTGGGGACAGCATCCTCCAAGCTTTCATCTTCTTCTTCATGGTAAGCACCTGTGTTGCACAGGATATGACTCCAACCCAGTCAGGTAGAAGGGAATCTTGCATAAGGAGTGTTCTACTCCTCATGGAAGGGTTCCCCACTACCCAGCTAAGTCAATTCCCAAAGCAGGCATCTCCGAAGGTAACTGCTGAGAGTATCCAAGACGCTGCAGGTTGGTAAGTCTTCAGGCAGGCTTCTGCTGGTCCCTTTGCTTTACTCTCATGAGAAAAGACAGTAGCTATTATGGTACTTTGATTAACCAAAACGCTTCTAGTTAGCTGAAGGTTAACCAGAAAATCAATTCTGTTTTACCCCTAATAACCGAAAAGCTCTTCTAAAACTAATTATCACAATCTTCTACCTGAGTTAGCATATAGATCTAATTTTTCAATCCAGGATATTTTACTGATTCAATATCATTATTATAAAAATCCATTATTCTTAATAGCTGTACTAAGAGTAGAATATACCTTTTTAAATAGGAATCTCTGACATTCTGAAGATGTATAACCATTTATTTCTGTTCCAAATAATTAACTACAGACCAAAAAATATATATTCAGAGGTTAATCAGTTTTTTAATCTCTAAGAAAAGTATGACATAAATAAAAGCACAGATTGGTCAGTTTCACTATTTACTTTCCTATGTCCAATATAAATTTTCAAATTGACTGATATAAAAGTTATTTATTAATATATACTCCTAAAAAAATATACATACTCATGTACATAGATGAATAAAAATATTTAAAGTTAAAAATATAAATTTCAATTAACAATTCACCAAAAATGTTCATTTGTTACCATGAAGCATAAATAAATAGATAAATAAAATTACCTGTGACTGGATAAGAGAATTTGGAAATTCAAACCTTTTCCTGATGTCATCCGACATTTTCTCTTACATATAAGCAGATTCTGTAACCAAAACAAAAGAATATTTGTTACTCTGGAAAAGGAGTTCAAACCAACTATTTGTCAAATAACATGAAAGTAATTCTGTACAAAGACAATAATGGCAATAAAGCACAGGGCCCTGGAGAACACTCCCTTGGCACACCCTTCACTGTTAACCACTTCAGCCCTCAAATGCCATAACTGATGGCATAGTAAACTAAAAATGCCCAACAGTTCTTAGTTTTCCCATGAGAGCAAATCCCAAAACAGATGAATTCACTCCACAGAAACAAACAAACAAACAAAAATCCAAAAGTTCATGTCTAAATAGCCAGATTTTAAAAGTTCAACCACATATTTGAAATAGAAATTCATCCTTCTGTGGATCAAAACTTCTGAGGAAGAAAGAACCAAACTTTCACAAAATTGTTTAAGCTGTGCCTCACTTTGGTACAAGCTTCCACTGAAGCATGAATCCACCCGTTTGTGACAAGTGTGAAGCACTGGTGAGTTTTTTTCAGGAAGTATAGACATGACCTAGAAATTCACACATCCACACAGGTGCTTTGTCTTCTGAAAGGGGAACAGCAAGCAATCAGCACCAACTTTTAATATTTACATCATGCCTCTCATGCCTATTGGGTTCTCAAGTACAACAATCACAACAAAATCATAGAGGAGGGCAAAGAAGCGGAGGCACAGAACTAATAAGGGGATTTCCCCAAGGATCTCACTTGATCCACACAGCACTGAACCCACTGAATTACACCCCACTCTAAAAAACAGGATGCTTTAGGCCACCTATTTATTACAGTATAACTTTAAAAAAAATGTTTACATTAGTACTGTACTCTAAGTTACCTTATAAAAATAACAGGCAACAAAACCAAGCTCTCCTGATCTTAAAAATGAAGGCATTTTGTGTTGAACCTGCAGCTCTTTCTCACTACTGTCTTCCTTTTTCTCTAAACCCAAACTCCCTGAATAATTTATGCTATGGTTCTTCCTCAATATATGGGTCCAACTTAACTCCCGTGAATTGGCCACTTCACAGCACTGAAACAACATGTTCTAAGACTGCAAACCATGTCCCTTATCTAATCCACTCATTAGCTTTTAAGCAGCTCAAAATTTCAACTTCCCAGTTGTGTTAATCTCACCTTTCTTGAAATGATCTTCTCTGTTGTTCCATAAGACATCATAACAGAATTTCCCAAAGTGTGTCTTGGGGAAAGCCAAGATAGAGACCTCTTTGAGAGGAAAAAAGAATTTTGTAGGGACATATATAGCCATTTTGAAAATTCAAAAAATAAATAAAAAGCCAAATAAAACATGAAATATGTTAGCAGGTGATACAATGGGAAAAAAGAAATCTGATCTCTTTTTCTATGAGTTTGTTTTTGAAGCACAACTGACCTATAACACTATGTTAGTTCCTGTTACACACATGATTCGATATTTCTAAGCATTTCAAAATGATCACTATGGTAAGTCTATTTACCATCACTAATACAAAGTTATTAGATAATTATTGACATATTCCCCACACTACACAATTCATACCTGTGACTCGTTTATTTTGCAGCTGGAACCAGAGACAGGGGCGAGGGGGAGGCAGAAGTAAATGAAGGCAGTCAAAACATACAAACTTCTAGTTATAAGATAAATAGGTACCAGAGATGTAATGTACAACACAGTGCTGAATGTTACAAATAAAAGTTGTTAAGGAAAAAAAAAAAAAAGTTGTTAAGGAAGTAAATCTTAAGAGTTCTCATCAAAAGGAAAAAATATTTCTTTTCTAGTTCTTTCATTTTGTATCAGTATGAAATAGTGGATGTTCACTAAGCTTATTGTGGTAATCATTTGATGATGTATATGTCAAATCATTACACCTTAGAGTGCTAAACGTCAGCTGTATCTCAATAAAACAAGAAGAAAAAAATTTTTTTAAGTAAAGCGAATAGAACAAAGGGGAGGAGATGAGAAATGGGGGATGGATACACTTTCTATTTAAATATGGTGGTCACCTTGGAGGGTGCCATTTGGGAGTTAGCCACACAGATAATCTAGGGAAACAGTATCACAGGCGCAGGAAACAGTGAATTCAAAAGCTCTAACTAATGATCTGCTTAAGATATATCCCAAAAAGAGCAAAAGGATGAGTTAGGAACAGAGCAAAGGAGGAAGGACATGGCAAATGAGAGTCAATGAGAAGCTAGACCATAGAGGGCCTTGTAGGCCACTGGAAGGACTGATGTATTTATCCAGAGTGAAATGGTTAACCACTACAGGAAAAAAAAAGTGGTAAGATTTTAATAGAATCACTTGAGGAGAGATGTGGTCAGACTCTGGGTGTCTCCAAAGGTAGAGTCAGTGTGGTTACTAACGGGCTGGATGAGAGTATAGGAGAAGGAAAGGGTCAACGATGACTCCAGTGTTTCTGATATGAGCAGCGTCATTCTTAATTTCAATCCCTTTGGGCATTTTACACATGAAACAAAATCATGAATATATTAATTACCATGGCATTTTTTACTAAAAGGTAAAGATAGAATTGCCAACAACTGAGATAGGGAAATGAGTTCTTTGAGGGAAGACTAGGAATTCTACTTTGCACAAGTAAGTTTTAGATGCCTAATGGATATCCAATTGGAGACGTCAGGGAGCAAGTTAGATACATGAATCTATAATTGAAGAGACAGATATTAGTTGGTGATACAAATAATGGTGTGTACTACTGAAGAATCTGAGAGGTTCTAAGGTAAGAAATTTGATAAACTTTGGTTAATCCAGAGTTTACCAAACTTATCTGGTCATGGCCCCCTTTTTTCTGAAACCAGCTGTTAACAGTCTCTACAAGCGACCCTCCCTAGGATACACCTTGGTAAACTCTGCCTACTGGTTCCTCCTATTCCTCTCTCCACTCTGCTTCTTGTTACCATCTTCCTTCCTGAAGGTGCTCCCAAACCTCCTGTCTTGTTCTTCTTTCATGAAAACTCTCCCGGAGTCTTCATCTAGTCCTTTTCTCCAAACACTTCCCTATTCTCACACAAGGCTCTAAAGCACCAGACTGGAGACGCTAAAAACAAAACACATATTTTCTCATAAAAATTGTTGCCATTTCAGTGCATCTTTTTCCAGTTCTCCTCTCACAATTTTCTTCACCAACATTCTCAAAGTCCAGTCAGTCACAAAGTCAGCTTCATTCCTTCCAGCATCTCAGTTTCTCTCTCCATTTCTCTACTCATCATCTTCAGTGCTCACGTGAGACTTCCTTCAGTAACTGGTTAAACTTGAGGTTCTCTAGCCCATACACTGCTGTCAGACTAACTGTCCTAAAATGCTATTTCCATCATATCAATTCCCTGTAAAGAATACATAGCAGGTTTTTAATAGCCTGGCAGATTAAATACAAATACTTATTTCCAGCTTTTAAGTTGTCTCCAACAACAATCTCACACATTCAACTTCATTTTCACTGTTGTCTAATTCTGTTGGTTTAGTCGCTAAGTTGTGTTTGACTCTTGAGAGCCCATGGATTGTAGCCTGCCAGGCTCCTTTGTCCATGGGATTCTCCAGGTGAGAATACTGGAGTGAGTTGCCATTTTCTTCTCCAGAGGATCTTCCTGACCCAGGAATTGAACTCAGGTCTCCTGCATTGCAGGCAGATTCTTTACTAACTGAGCTATGAGGGAGGTTGTCTAATTTTAAGCTGCATAAAACCATTGTCAGAATAGACCCATGTGCTCAAAAATCGGTTCATTCCTAAGGGATTGCCGCCTACCCCGCCCCTCCCACCACCCCTCATGTGCAATCTTAGTTCCCCAATCAGTGATGGAACCCATGCCCTTTGCAGTGAAAGCACAAAGTCTTAACCACTGGACTGTCAGGGAACAGGGACGTCCATAAGGGATTTTATTTATGCTGTTCACTCCCACATAAAATGTCCTCCTCTATATGATCACTGTAGATGGTGACTGCAGCCATTAAATTAAAAGACGCTTGCTCCTTGGAAGGAAAGTTATGACAAACCTAGACAGCATATTAAAAACCAGAGACATTACTTTGCCAACAAAGTTTCTTCAGTGCTACTGCATTTGGCCTGACCCATACTACCATGTGATTAATTACATTACGATTGTTAATATTCTTCTGTAAAGGCAAATAGCAACTACTCAGATTTGCCACTGTAGCAGGAAAAGCAGCTACAGACAATACATAAACAAATGACCAGGGCTGTGTTCCAATAAAGCTTTATTTACAAAAACAGGAGTCAGGTGGGCTGTAGTTACTGACCCCTGGTTTACATACTATTTAATTAATTTGTAAAATTTATTGATAAAAATTGCTAAACTGACATTCAAATTTGCCCCTGGGCATCCAAGCACAGATAATACATAAATAAGATAAATTGAACATGTCTTATTATCTAAAAATGGAAAAGTTCTATCATAGAAAACAATTTTCATGCCCCTAAACTCTGAAAGAAATTTCTCACATTAGGCTTTCTATTGGGGCTTCTCTTGTAGCTCAGTTGGTAAAGAATCTGCCTGCAGTGCAGGAAACCTGGGTTCGGTCCCTGGGTCAGGAAGATCCCCTGGAGAAGGAAATGGCAACCCATTCCAGTATTCTTGTCCAGAGAATCCCATGGAGAGAGGAGCCTGACAGGTGGCGGTCCGTGGGGTCACAATGTTCGGACATGACTTAGCGACTAAACCACCACCACCACCACGGGATACAGGGTGATATAATAACAATAATTTCAATAACATAAGCAAAACAGAATTTTGTTACCTCTTTTTTAAACCACAAACTAAAGTCAAAGTTGTATCATAATATGTAACTCAGGAAGAAAAAAAAAACCCTCAGCTAATGGAGTCAAAGCTCAACAGAGCTTTCTGATGATCTAATCTAACTCAAGAAAGCCAACTCTAGAATATTGAGAGAAGCAGAGGGTTATTAGCTTATCACAGAATATACTTACCCAAATGTCAAGAGTGACAGAGCTAAACTGAAGGAAA